AGTGCTAATGACAACTAAACAAAGCTGTTTCTGCCCTCAAATAGGTCCCAGTTTAAAGAGTAACAGACAGGAAAACAGAATGTTATTTTAAAAAGCAGGTACAGCAGGCTGTGGCTTCCTGGAGGAGAATAAGAAGGAAGGGTTGAGAATGCCTTGGAAGAGGCTGGAAAAGCATCCTGGAGAAGGCTTGAAGGTTGAATTGGAACATAACAGAAAGGACAAAGAAAGGATAGAGCTGACAGAGACCAGAGAAAGCTTTGCAGAGAGGCAGCCACTCGTGCTTACCAAGGACTTTTCTCTATTATCCGAGCCACAACTTTCCCAACCCAACAATTACTCATAGGTCTCTCTCTGCACCCTTCTCAATACTGCTAAAAGTACAAAGGGCACAGTAGCCCCTAGCCCAGGACTAACCACAGTAGGCATACTGTCCACTAAAAATAGTAGCTATCATTTTTTTAGGGGAAATTGGGGCATAGAAAACCTTGAGTATATGCTCAAAGTCACAAAACTTCTGAGTGATAGAGCAAGTTTGCTTGATTTCAAAGCTGGAACTCTTTATATTATATCTTGTTTCCTCTAACAGAAGTAGAGGGTAGAATAATAGAGTAGAAAAGAACACTGAAATATAAGTTAAAGACCTGGGTTTGAGTCATGGCTCTGCCAATTAAAAGCTGAAAGACCTCTAAAAACTCATCTCATCTCTCTGAGTCTCAATTTCTCTGAGAAATTATCTACAGGAGAAAAAGCCCCTCCATGAGTGATCTGCTCCCCCAGAGTGAGACCTCGGCTTAGGCCTCAAACAGAACACTGCCTTTGGGCCTTTATTTCTCAGAGCACACCCAATACCTGACCACTGGCACTGTCAGGGGCACTCTACAGGGGTCATTAAGCTTAGAGTCAACTTTGCAGGGTGGAAAAGACTGTAAAGGGCTATGTGCCACTCACTCTATGGTCACACAGGAGGACTGAGATGTCTTCTGTCAGAAAATGGACGCTGGGGTGGCCCTGTGCTGAGCCAGTCTGATCCCATTTCCCTCTTCCCAAGCTCTGAGGCTGCTATAGGCAGATGGATCCTGCTCACTCAACAGACACTGCTGGCTACTGTACAACGAACCTTTATTTTTGAGATTTCTCGCATCTCAGACCAATAGCAGGGTTTTTATTAAGGCTGGGCAAGGTTGCGATGGCTGGCAGCTGTACCTGGCCCAGATTCTCTGGGGTGTTTATCTACTCCAGAGCCTGAGAACCATAGCCCTAAGAACTCACGCAGGTATAGAACGCAGGTCAGAGCCAGCACAGGCCCTTACTCTGAAGTACTGCATGGGTGTTGGACAGGGAACAGCACTGAACCAGGGATGTTAGTCCGTGCTCAGATGGGAAAACAGAGTCTGGGGGGAAGTAGATTCTTTGCAGGTGCCCACTAGGCATGGTCCTATGATCCCAGCCATGCAGAAGTCTCCTGGCAAAGAGATTCCTAGTATTTTCTTCAGATTCTATCTGGCAATTTTCAAATTTTTTATTTAACAAGCATCAGTAGGAAAGTGTAAAAAGAATATTTACCATCAGGATAGCTGCTGTATTCCAAAATCTTAGCTCCCAGAAGTATACCCAGCTCTATCTGAGTCCTTGAATGAGAGAACCTGTAAGAGTCTTAATGACCAGGCCTATTTTACAGATGAGGAAACCCAAGTTTAGGCAGGAGAATTGAATTGCCATAGGTCATTTGATAAGGCAAGGGCCAAACACAGAAGTCCTAAAGATACAGGATATAGACAGCCGTAGGAAAGAATAGACCTCCTGTCTTTTACACAGTACCTTTATCAACCAAAGAGCTTTTTTTTCCCAAATCACAGAACATCACAGCTGAAAGGAATCTTAAGAATCCATTAGCTCAATTGTTTAATGATACAAATCAGAAAACACACCCTGAGAGAAGTGATCTAAACAAGGTCACACAGTGAGTAGCAATTTTGAAGAGACCAAATTTTATAAGTCCTCTATATGAAAGTCCAGGAGTTACAAAAAAATCTAGATGTACATGATGATGATAATGATGATGCCGACAACTGGGATATAATTCACATACCTAAAAATTCACTCTTTTAAATGTACAATTCAGTGGTTTTAGATTATTTACAAGGTTACACGACAATCAGCACAATTAATTTAAAAATATTATCATTACCCCAAAAAGAAATCCCATACCGACTACTAGTCACTTCCCATTTCCCACTCTCTCCAGCACCTGCCAATCACTATTTTGCATTGTCTACAGATTTATCTATTCTGGATATTTCCTATAATTGAAATCAAACAGTATGTGACCTTTTGTGTCTGGCTTCTTTTACTTGGTGTAATGTTTTCCAGGTTCACCCAGGTTTCAACCTATATCAGAACTTCGTTCCTTTTCATGGCTAAATAATATTCCACTATATTTGTATACCATAACTTGTTTATCCATTCATCCACTGGTGGACACTGGCTTGTTTCTACCTTTTGGCTATTGCAAATAGTGCTGCTATGAACACCTGTACATGTACTTGCTTCAGTACCTTTTTTTACAATTACTTGGGTACATTCCTAGGCAAGGAATTGCTGGGCAATATGGTAACTCTATGTTTAACTCTTCGAGGAAAAACCAGACTGTTTTCCACAGTAGCGGAACCATTTTACATTATCACTAGAAATGCACAAGTGGTTCTAATTTCTCCACACTTTTCCCAACACTTGTTATTTTCCATTTTTTTTTCTTTGTTTTTGTTTTTATTATAGCTATCCTAGTGGGTGTAAAGTGTCTTCTTAGCTCTAATACCTCCCTGTCCTGTCTATCTCAGAAATGAGTTTTCTGCTGACTTCTGACCTCCCTTAGGTTAGGTCACATGCAACCTACAGGCTATATGAAATGAGCCTATGAGAAAATATCTCTGTCTTGGTCTCAGTCTAACCTGCTTCACTAGGGATCTTGCTGGCTCTGACCTCCTGGACCCCGTACTTTGTACTCTGGTTCTCATGCTCCAGCCCTAGCTGGTTTTTCCTTGCTTACTTTAACCTCCAGTATCTTATGTACCCTTTCAGATATGGTAAATCTCATTTTGATACAGTCTGGTAATATATCATAGAAGACTGATGAAAACTTTCAGGCTGCTGAAGGCCTCCCTTCCTGAGGAGTGACAGAGGAAAGCCTTCGCAAAAGTAGCCTAGCCTTTACTGCTGGGTTCGGTTCTTCTGGTGTAAGTATTCTTGGTGGTGTATTATAAAGAGAGGAGTGTGAGTTGTTAATGGGGACAGTTTAATAAGGCCACTACCATCTTTTAAGACTCAGCTCAAGAATTATCATCTCCATAAAGATTCTTGGACTCTGACTGAAAATTCCTCCCTACTTTGTGCTCCCAACTCAATTCTGGAAAGACCTACACAATAGCTATAATACTGGGTTTGCTGACCATTTGCTCTATTTGTTGATATAGACGCACCTGCATCAAGACATCAGCTTGGACACTTGTTGAAGCCAAATGCATAGACAGGGAAATGCTATACAATAGCCGCCCTTATCTGCAGTTTTACTTTCCAGTTTCAGTTACCCACAGTCAACTGCAGTCCGAAAATATTAAATGGCAAAATTACAGAAATACATAATTTACAAGTTTTAAATTGCACATCATTCTGACTAGCATGATGAAAATTTCACGCCGTCCCTCTCCATCCTGCCTGGGACATGAATCATCCCTTTGGCCAAGATATCTTCACTGTATATGCTACCTGCCCATTGGTCACTTAGTAGCCTTGCTAATTATTAGATCAGCTGCAGTGGTATTGCAGTGCTTGTGTTCAAGCAACCCTTATTATACTTAATGCCACATTTGTATAATTTTAATTATAGCGTATTGTTTTAATTGGTCTATTATTGTTGTTGCTTCTCTCTTACTACATCTAATTTATAAATTAAACTTTATCATATATATATGTATACATAGATATATATATATGTATCTAGTATATACGGGGTTTGGTACTATCTGCAGTTTCAAGCATCCACTGTAGGTCTTAGAACATAGCTCCCATGGATAAGAGGGGACTATGGTACTGCCTCTGACCCTGCTTGCCAGCTACTTCTCTAGACCGGTTCTTGACACTATACCATTCTGCTGCTGGCACCCTCAACCCATGCCAATAGCTCCCAAAAGGCAGGGAGTGGATCTTAAGAGTCTGTTTGGTCAAAACTAATTTTCTAAGGAATCTTACTACTTTTGTTCCCCCTGAGTTCACTTAGAATAAGAAAAAGGATATCAGAGTTAGTTGTTGCCACCTAGTAGGTCTTCAGCAGCTAAATTCTCTCAACTAACTACTGGCTGAAGAGAATATCTTTCTTTGGGCCTGAGTGTGTCTCTATTGCTTTAGTGAAAGCCTACTTAGTCCTCTTTGGTTGTCCAAGGACTTAAGATGGCCAGTAATCAGATCATACATTCTGCATACTCACAATGAGAGCAAGGAAAAGCTAAATAGCATTCAGCCCCTTATGAGTTACTTTTATCCTTGAGTATACCTTACATATTTCAGCCATTGCTTTCTTGCTCAAGTTGCTTCCTCCACCTAAAATGCCCTCTCCTGCCATCTTCATGGAATAAAGCCTTACCTTAATGGCAGAGCTCACATGCCACCTCTTCAATAGTAAGCCTTCTCTACTCCTCCTGTGTACCTCATTCCTTCTCTACAACATTCATTTGATCCCTTTAAGGCAGAATATGACTCATCTGGGTCTTCCTACAAGGTCCAGCACAGCACTGGCACAAAGCAGATATTTTCTTAATGTATTTAATGAAAAGATGTTGATATCTGGCTGGACCAAAAAGTAAAACCATTTCATATATCAACATCAGTGGAAAAGGTGGAGGCATTGCCTTGCAGGTGTGCCAAGGAGACCCAAGGCCTCAGCCCAGCCACCCCAACAGCCTTGGGTTCCATTGCACATCAGCAGCCCTTCTCTCCACATGACTCACAGAGAGGAGGCCCAAAGAGCACTGTGTCTAGAGCCTTCAGCTGCAGCTTCTGCCGATGGCTCCGGTCTGTCATCTTCAGCACAGTCCCTGTCATGGTGGTGTTGGTTACAGCAAGCCTGTTGAGGCAAAGAGTAGGCGCTCAAGTTTCCTGCCAGCAAAGCCAGGAAGGATCTTGGTTAAATTACCCACCTCCTCCAGGAACACTTCCATGACTTTGAGCTCTTGGTGACTGCTCCCCTCTGCATTCTAGAACACAGAATCTACACAAGTAGATCTCAACAGGGACTATGCAGGGACACATAACATTTACCAAAAATTTGTTCACCCCTCTCTTCATGTCTACCATTTCTTGAACATCCTACTCACTAAAGATTATCTATTTGTGACCATTCCCACACTCAATTGTAAATTTTCTATTGTGCCTCCCCTTGTAGGGATTATCACTATATATCTGTCCCTACACTCCCACCATTTGTAAATGCAGTCTCCTGCCCAGCCCTAGTCAGAATGTCATGCTACATGACCCAGTGATTCTGGACCTCTGAATTATCCTAATCCTAACCAAATTAAATATATTTAATAATGAATATATTTAATAATCATTAACTATAAACCTGCTGATGACAAACACTGCATCTATCTTATTAGCTCATATCTGAGTCACTGTAATTTACTCCCAGATTGCTGTAATTTTTTTATGACCTTCGACCATATTGTTAATGATAACTCTTTAATAAGAGATGGCCTATAAACAAGAAAATGACCTCTGAAAAACTGGACTTTATTTCTCTTCTGCTGGAACAAAGTGGGTATAGGAGGAAAAGGGTATAAGATATGAAAGATTGAAAACCACTGGTCTGAGTCCCACAGTGAGCATTTATGACTATACTACTCCATATGGTCAGTGTTCTTCTTGGAAGCATAGCTTTGTTTCCCCAAATAAAAAGAAGCTTCTGACATCACAGTGTGTGTTTATACTCTTGCCTGGGCATGCAGAAGTAGCTACTTCCTTCTCTAGTTCTGGGAAGCAATTAAGCCCACTTACAAGAGAGGCAATGAGACACTGGTGGGAAGTGGAGGTGGGAGGGGTAGAGATCTAGTTTCTGGTTTCAGCTCCTATCATTGAGTGACTCATTTGTCCAATCATAAGCTGCTTGGTCTCCCCCAAACCCTGCACCCCCAACCAGGGGCATCAGTTTCCTTCTGTGTAAACTTATGTAAAGTCAGATGCCTCCTATAAGCCTGAAAATTCTTAGGGATTCTCTTTAGACAGTTTTACCAGTGTACTGGCTTTCATCTGACTGATCAAAATAAGTATCATCTTTTCTATATAGTCTATCTGTCAAAGAAACCTATGGACTTGAATGCTATCTACTTCTAAGCAATGAGAGAAATGAGAAAGGAACTAACATTTACTAAGCAACTACTCTGTATCTCATACTATTCTGAAACCTTACATACAATACCTCATTTAGTTCTCATGACTTTAAGAACTCAGTTTTACTATTAGCTCCACTTTACAGATACAAAAACTGAGACTTAGAGTTGAGTCTTGCCCAAAGTCACATAGCAAGTAAGTGGCAAAGACATGAAACAAACTTAAATCTGCTAGATTCTTTCCTTATACCATGCTGCCTAGTGATTGGGCCTAGAACCACCCCCTACTTCATGCACTAAAGGCTCCATGCTTCCTGCTGTCACTAAGGTGCCACAGTTTGGCTTCCTCCATTCCTGAGCTTAGCCTAGCTGAGTCTGTCTTAGATCTAATCCTAGCCACAGGAGAGCTAAGTGAACCCATTACTTGAGAACTGACTTCTTATCTTATGCTTTACAGTTTTAATCCAACCCATAGCCACTTCTCAAGATGAAATGGTCCAGTGATCCATAAGGCAGTACTGTTATTTCCATGGGTAATGAGAAAGAAACCTAAATCCTGGAACTTCATGGTCAGTCATCTATGCAATTGCCTGTCTCTTCCATTAAATGTGAAGTTCCTAGAGGCAGATGTGAGGTCTAATGCATGTCTTTGTCCTCAGGGCCCAGGAGAGAGCATGGCATATGGTAGGCAGTTGGTAAGGTTTTGTTAAATAGAACTAAAGATTTCTAGGAAGTCCATCTTCAATTACATGGGGCAAGAAGAAGATGCAGTAAAGAAAAGCAAGGCACTTAGAATCAAGCAGACCTGGCTCAAATCCCATTTACCAGTTGGCTAAATCATAAAATATTTGAAATTCAGTTTGTTCACCCAAAAGTTGGGATAGTAATTCCTTCCTCCCAGAATTGAGAGAATTAACTTAAATAATAAGTAGGAAAGTACTCTATAAAGAGATGTACAAACATCAAGATTATTACTCTTTCCAGAGTAGGGAGAAGCTGTGAAGAGGAGGCTACAGGCAGCACAGGAAGGAGCAGCCAACTCAGCTAGGGCTGGACAGCAGTGGCCAGTAGCTCTGTGTCTGGAGACTGCAATGTATGGGCATTCCAACAGCTTCCCCTTCTCCCTTCCCCTTTGCTGAAGCTCATAACCAGATGCACATACGTGATAAGATGACAGATTATACACAATCGGCACTTATCAGACAGTGAGCCCTTTGAGGGCAAGGGCAGATTGTTGTAATCTTTATGCCGAGCACAAGTACTTGGCACAGAACAGGTACCTAGTAAATATTTATTGAATGAATAAGTAAATGGATTAATGACAGATGGCACTAATATGACACAACAAGAAGTCCAAGTAGTACTCTATCCCTTTCCCACTCCCACCCCAAGCCCTAGCATACTGTGCCTATGAAGGAGGCAGAGTTAAGACACAACAGCTGTTGAAAGAGTCATTCCAGAGAGGAGGCTCAGCCCAAAGGTAGGGAGGCTAAAAGAGCCCCCAAGGCTCCTGGGCAATAAAAGAGGCAGCTGCTAGGGGGAAGACAGCAAAAGAAAAGAGAAATAGCATAGGCTATGAAGTCAGCCCAGATCTAGTTCCAAATCACAGTTTTGCTTCCAACTAGTCATGTGACCTTGGAAAAGTTATTTAGCCAGTTTCATCATCTTTATAGAATACCTACCTTATAGGAGTGATATAAGAATTAAATGAGATACTATACATAAAGTGTTGAAGTAGAGTTCCTGGCATATACTAAGCACACAATAAATGGCAGTTATTAGTACTATTCCCAGTATTGATAGAAATATTAAATAAGAGAATGGATGCTAAATACCCATCATGCTTTATAGCAAGTGCACAGTAGATGTGAGAAGAGGAGAGGTCTATAGATTCCACCCTAAAAAGGGTAGAACCTCATTTAACCGGCCAGAGCAACCTGAAAGTAGGCTGACCCTAGTCCACTCCCTGTGCCCCCAAGTCAAAGAACCCAGTCTCCTCCTGACCTCGGCATGGCATGGCCACTGAGCTGCAGCTTCCTGAAGGTCTCCTCATACTGAGGCAGCTCCACATATGTGATCAGCCACTGCACCACCTCGTCCACGGTCCAGTTGTATACTGTAGGATGAGACAAACAAAACCATGACTCCAGAATGCCAAGCACTGCTTACACAGATGTGAAAAGTCTAATGCATGTCTTTGTCCTCACAACCCAGGAGAGAACATGGCATATGGTAAGTACTTGGTAAAGTTTTGTTAAATAGAACTGAATATTCCATGAAGTCCATCTTCAGCTACCTGGGACAAGAAGAAAATGGAGTGAAAAAAGCAGAGCACTTAGAATCAGGCAGACCTGGTTCAAATCTCAGCTCTGCCAGTTTGGCTAAATCATAAAACATTTGAAATTCAGTTTGTCCACCCAAAAGTTAGGATAGTAATTACTTCCTCCCAGAATTGTGAGAATCGACTAATAAGTAGGAAAGCATTCTATAAAAGAATGTACAAATATTAAGATTATTACTTTCTCCAGAATAAGAAGAGGCTATGAAGAAGATCACATTCACTCAGTCACATTGGCCTTACATCTACCACATGTTTATCTGTTTAACATCTCTCTCTCCCATAAAATCCTATGCATGAAAGGAATACACACTCTGTTTATTGTTTATATATGTATACATATATACACATATGCATGACATAATATACACATAATATAGGCTTATATAGAGAGATGGATACGGATGACATCACTTAAGCCCTGAGTCGGAGCATACCCGTAGATAGCCCTATTCATAGATGTTTCAGTTTTGTGCAACATGGCAAATAACATCATCACTGTATGTGAACCACTATAACTAATCATTCTTCAATATTATAATGTTGTGATGTTTAAATGGATAATTATAAAAATAATCCTTGAAAAATAATTTTAATATTTGTGTAGTATTTAGACACATAGATAACAAATTTATCTCCACACTTTGTCAAGAGTCAACAATAAAGAAAGAAGTGAACTTAAAACACAAGGCACAAGTTCAAGGCAAGTGAAGGTCAAATGACATCATGATGTATTATATAAATCAAAGCTGCATTGTAGCTTGAATAGAGAAGGATGGTAGGAGGACTGAGTCATCAGATGGCACCCAGCAATACAGGCATGCTTAACTTAAAGAGTCTAGGAGCAATTGAGTTTCGGCAAAAAGGTGTCATTTTATTGGATTAGAAGTTTGTTTTTATTTAATGTATAAATCTGTTTTGCTTATATTTGTATACAAATTTTATACAGCAACTGAAACGTCATTTTATGTTTATACACATTTAAATAACACTATAATGAAATAATTTAAGTCAGCATCACAAGTCTGAGATAATTTCCCTTACAAAGAATGTGTACATTCAAGTTTGAAAACTACTGCTGTGAGCAGTAAGAAGACTAAAAAATTTTGAAGTCATATGAGATGGTGAGATTCACCACCCTCCTCTCTTAAGATTTATCAGAATGCTAATTTCCCATTAATAATTAAGAAATATTAAGGTGTGTATCGTGTCCTATTCATTTTTGCTCACCCCGTTGTCTCTAAAATGGAGCTTCATATACAGTGGCATCAATAAGAATTTACTCAAAGAATGACTACCCTAGATGAGGAGTTCTAGAAATGTTCTGACTGTGGGCCTCCAAACAATAATCTCCTTAGACTAATGTACAGCTCATGGGGACAGTTAACTTCTAAAATGCTTGTCAAAAAAACAGGCATTCCTCTGGTAGGCACACCTCAGGTCTTAGGTTGTTTCTGTCATTCTCACATAAGCTAGAAAAGTTGAAAACTTGGCCCTGGCTCTTCATTTTCCTTCTTCCCCTACTATGGAGCCCAGCACTGGTTCAAAATAGACACTCAGAAAGACATCCTGAATGAAATCAAGATGAAGGCAAAAATGCTCCAATCTCTTGATATCCTCAAGAAGCTTCTGGAGCTCAGGAAGAAAGTTCTGAAGCCAAGAAACTTCGGAGGTAGATTAAGTTATTTGCAGAGGCACAGGAGGGAAAAAGGGAAAGGTGCCAGGGGCTGAAATGAAGCAGGTATAGTGCCCTAAAGCTGCATCCTAGAAGGCAAAATCCTAGAGGTTTAGGTGAAAGGTGCCTAGTCATTGCTTGGTTAAATTTCTAATTCCAGACTAGAATACATTGGAGGGAAGAAACAAATAAATTTCTAAGAGATATGTTCAAATCTTAGGGTTTGGGAAAGGAGGATGACGGAGCTGAGGTTAAAGAAGCATTACAGAAAGTAGAATGTATTAGTCATTATTCCTGAAAATGAATACATAGCTACACACATTACAAATGTGGTCATTTACTATGGTTGGAAATGTCAGGTAATAAAGGCATAGTAGAGTGACACACAGACATGAGGCAGACAGACAAGTGCTAGCCTGAAAAGTACAGAGAACACACTCCTGCCACACTGCTGCCAAAGGAGCTCGGCCTCATCCAAGACAAAAGGGCCCTTTCTGCTGAGCATGTGGAGTGGAAAGGCCACTTTTTTATTGCTAGAAAGGCCTGAGGCCAGTGGTGTTACAAAAGCCTTTTGTCTACTGGGAGGACGTCTTGATACAAGCCTGAACATAGACCTTTGGCATGCAGGAACTCCTCTATCTGCACCCTACACTGTAATGGAGACAGGCAGGAGTTACTCTAGACCAGAGTTTCTCAATCCCTGCACCATTGATATTTTAGATGGGATGCTGCTTTGTTGTAGGGGGCTGTCCTGTGCATTGTAAGATGTTTAACAACATCTCTGGATCTACCCACAGGACGCCAGTAGCATGCTGCCAGTCATGACAATCAAATATATTTCCAGATACTGTCAAATGTTTCCTGAGGGACAAAATTGTCCCCAGCTGAGAATCACTGCTCTAAACACTACATTAGGTGAGGCAGAGGGTCCTATAAGGGAGGTCACTGTAATCCAGTGAGATGGACTCTGAACATAGTAGGCCCTTATGTAGCTAAGCTGTAAGGAAAAGGGATAATGGTTTCAATATGCCAGGCCAAACCTCAAGGCAGTTGTTTTTTGTTTTCTTGTGTGCTCTACATATCATTCTGTTACCTAGGCAAATGCCTTACCTAGGTAGGGCTTGGCAGCATGGTGTTGTTTAACCAGAGTTACTGCAATCTGAACAAAGTAAGCTTCATTCTTGTCAGACAACAACTCTGTGTCTCAGCATGAAGAGCTCACTTAAGAGTCAAGTTGATATATCAGAGTCCTTTGTCCCTAAAGTTCAAGTACCTAAAAGTTAAGTCTTGTTCTGCTCTCTCATTCCAAAAGAGAAAATGAACAGATTCCTAGGTCAAAGTCAGGAAGAAGGCAACTGCAGGTACAGAGCGCTGTGGCTATCAGTGAAATGCTACAGCATTTGGCAAGGAGAGCTTAGTAAAGATACAGGCTCCAAATGACTCACAAATCCAAATCCTAGGAAGACAGTCAAACAAGAGATAGTCTTCAAAAGTCATCAGTCTCTTATTCTACTGAGCCTGTCCATGTAGCCCCTGAGAGATCAAAGACTGTAGAACTCTGGGCAAAATGACAAATGGTTACACAGAATCAGAGAAGGTCAACCCCTGGAGTTTTCTGCAACAAATAGTCCTTCATAAGGGAAATGAACAAGGTGACTAAATTTGTAGTTTCCAACCTTTTTAGTGACGTAATCTACTTGTAAAAAAACTTGAGCACACATTACCAATATATGAATATCTGTTTATAAATTAGATACATGTAATGACATTAGGAATATTGTAAAACATAAAAATTAAAAAGTGAGATAAAAATAATTGCAATATAAATACAAACCCAAGTATTTTCTTATGGCTCCCCAATCGACCATCTTGTGTGGGCCCACTTGAAGTGCACATACTGCCACTGGAAACTACTGGACTAACAGTCTCCCTCATCCCAGCATAAATGACCTGAACTTCACAGCCCTCCCTGGGGGCTGCCTCTGCAGTAGCTCTTGACTTTGCAGTCCTCATCTAGCATGGGTTCCTTACAGCATTTACTTATTCATCCTTGAACAATGCTCTCAGACTTCTAGGTCTTTGCTATTTCCATAAAAGCTCTTTTCCCTCTTCTTGGCCTACTAAGCACCAACTAATCCTTAAAACCTAGCTCTAACTCTTTACTTGTTGAAACTCTTTGGAGCCCATTTCAAAATCCCCTCTTCTAAAACCCTCCAAATAAGTACGAGGTCTCTCTTCTCTACTTACTTAGCACTTTCTTTATACAGACTTCTTTTCTAACATATGTTATACTGTTATTATTTAATCACAAATCTTTCTTCTACATTACATTGTGAGTAATTTGGTAGAGAACATGTCTTTTCCATTTATGTATTCTCCAATGTCTAACACAAGGCTAGATCATTCTAAGTACTAAGTAAATTTTACTGAATGGACAAAAGAATAGATATAAATGAATGAATGAACAAATGATGGCCATCTGTGGGCCATCTGTGCCAGGTACTGAGAACAGAGCAGTGATCGAGACAGAGATTCCTACTCCCATGTAGCTTACTACCTACCAATACCTGTCTCTAGGGGTTGTTGAATTAAATGAGTCCATATTTTTGAAAATGCCTGGGATTTAATATAAACTCAGTAATAATTGTTTATATATATATATATTTATTCAAAAAGGGTAGATGTTGTGGTCAGAATCTGGGTGGATAGAAATATAGGCCTATCAGAGAAAAGAAACATGAGCAAAGATAAGAACTATAAACTGTGAAGACTGCTCAGAGAACACTGAGTTTGTCTGAGGTTCAACGGTTACACATAGGAACAAGGAGACTGAGGCATTATTGAAGTCAAGTGATAGAAGTCTTTGAAAGAAGGTGCTCTCAAGCTTCAAAATCATTTATTCATTGGAAAAAAGAAACACCTGTCAAGCACCTAGTACTACTTGCCATGCACTGCTCTTGGAACTAGGAACATAACAATATATAAAGCAGAGTCACAGATCCCTGATGCTCAGGGATCCGAGACAAACTAAAACACTATAAACAAACAATTATATGTTGGATAGTGATGAACACAATGAAAAAAAATAAAGCAGGGTAAGAGA